GGCAAGTGTAACTTGCTTTGAAAGCCTTAAGCTCCACCAAGGCCCTGCATCAGTGCACAGAGACCAGCGACCACAGCGGACTGGCCCACGGCTGTGTTGTAAGTAACTTTTACCAGACACCTACCCGCTCGTCTGCGTATCGCTGATTCGGTGCTCCACCACCAGAGCTGAGTAATTGCAACTGAAACTGAATGACCCACAAATCCTAAAATATTTACTATCTGGCTCTTCACAGGAAAGGCCTGCCAACTCCCGGGTCACAGGTATTGATTGGCTCATTGTTCCCACTGGAAACAAGTGGTGGTGTGATCAGCTGTGGGAGTCGAAAGGCCTTTACTAAGCAACTGTGGGGGAAGCTGGCTGGTACCACCCCCAGGAGGCACCCGAGTGGCCACACCTCCAAATCCAAAGCAGGAAATAGACGCTTATAGTTTGGGGTGGGGGGTGGGGGCGTGGAGCACACCCGCAGAAAAGCTTCGTGGTCTCACCTCCCATCACCCAGCCTTCAAGAACAGGGGAGCCTCGCACAGAACAGTAAGAAGCCACCTGCAGGGAAGCCCTTCCAGACCCAGGCTTCCTGCGTCACCAGGGGTTCCCCACACCACGCTCCCGGAGGCTCAGGGCGGACCCGGTTAGGTTGCCTGGCTTGTAACTGATTTTCCAAGATTCTTCCGACTCTCAAGGGAGTCGGGAGAAAACCCTGGGAGTGAGCTATAGTCAGAAGCACAGGTTTTCCAATACAAAGTCATTTCAAAATCAAAAGAATCAAGGACTGGATTTGTCCAGAGACTAGCAGAGAAGCCTCCACCTTCCTCCCTCCGGCGACAGGAGTGGTGGTGCACTTGGAAAACGCCACGGCCCTCCACGCCCGGAGACGGGCAGAGGTGAGCTCCGATCGGGTCCTGCCTCCCGCAGGCAGGCAAGCATCACTTCCGCTCACAAACAGCTGTGTCTTCCGCTCACAAACAGCTGGGCTGGAGCACAGGCCACACAGCGCTGGCCTCGGGGGATCCCTCACATCCCTAAGCCTCCAGGTGTGTCATCTGCAGAATCAATGCTTTGATCCTGGACCTCCGAGGCTCCTTTTACCATGACTGTCCTCGCTCTGTAATTATACCTGTGCGCTCACCACCTTACTCATCACACAGAAATGGCACGCATCAACAAGTCCTCACCTCACTTCCTGACATCCTTCTCCACCTACTCTCTCATCGCAAAACCAGCGTGACAATTAGGCAACACTCCAGAAGCAATGTGTGGCTCTGGAAGCCAGGCTCGGCAAAGACTGTCCCCCTGGGCCCGGTGGGCAGACAGAGGGAAGTGTTCTCACCCTGTGCCTTTCACCCACGAAAACGGCATTTCCTTCTGGAGGCTAAATTCTCAGATCTGGGTTCAAAGCCTCAGCAGAGGCCCTGGGAAGTGCTGGGAAGGCGGATACCAGCAGATCTTGGAGGAGCCATTTATCAGTGATTGCAAAAACAAAGTAGGGGTGTGTGGGCAGATCCTCTGTCCTAAATGTATGCGTCAGCAAATAGCATGCTGGTTTGGTGACCCCATTCTGTTCTCACAAATAGAAAAAGGAGTGAGGGGAGGGGAGGACAGAAAGAGTGAATGCGGAGGGTCTGGATCTCACGAACAGGAAGTTGTGAGGACACTCCTGAACCTGGGGAGTCTGCCCAGTCAGCTGGACCCAGGTGAACCTCACAGATGTGACCTGAGCACTGGGTCCAGGTGGCCCAGAGGGAAGGGGACAAGCCCTACAGGTGGGAGGAAGGGGCAAGAGCCTCCGTGAATGCAAGCCTTTCCCCCCAGACCAAGTGGTGAGCTACAGGCTGCCAAGAAGGCCTGCACTCCTGTCCTCCTGGGTAACACGACTTTTTTTTTAAAGTTTTTAAAAATACATATATTTTATTGATTTTTTTTATAGAGAGTACAGGAGAGTGATAGAAATATCGATGAGAGAGAAACATCGAGCAGCTGCCTCCTGCACACTCCCTACTGAGTATGTGCCCCGCAACCAAGGCACATGCCCTTGACCAGAATCGAACCTGGGACCCTTCAGTCCATAGGCCGACGCTCTATCCACTGAGCCAAACTGGTTATGGCTAAAACGACTTTTTTTTTTTTTTTTTTTTTTTTTAAATAGAATCAATTCAGCTGGATTCATGACCCAAGATGGGCATCAGGGAAGCTGCTCTCAAGAAAGAATGCAGGGGGAGGTGTGCAGGAGGCAGCCGATCAATGATTCTCTCTGAGAGATGATGTTTCTATCTTCCTCTTCCTCTCCCTTCCTCTCTGAAATAAAAATATATTTTAAAAAAGAACAAATACAAAATTTTGCACATATGTAAGTATGTACATTTTTCTGGAGAGAAGGCTCAACGCTTTCATTTTCAAAGAGGGCCCTACATAGAGAATGTGATTTTAAAAATCCAACATATTATCCTTTTTTATTATGCCTCTACTTAATTATCCAGCAGGTACCTAAGGAATTTAAATTTCAAATATTTTCCCCGAAAATTAAGGAAGGTCAAGAGCTGACAGTGAGGTTTGAGAACGCGGCATGCTGCTAATGCTTTCTCTCCTTAAAAGGCAGAAAGACAAGAAGGTTACGTTAGGAATGATTACAGCTGACCTGCGGTAGATGAACTCACAGGATCGCAGCTGCAACCAGTTCAGTCACTGTCAGTGAAGAAGAGGGAGGGAGATCATGACAGAACACTTGGCCTGGAGCTCGGAGACCAGCAGCCTATCTCTAGTCCTCGCTCCCCCTGCTTTCAGCTGTGACCCTGGAAAGTCCCTTTTCCTTCTGGGCTTGGGCAATTAAGTACAACAGTGGTTTGCAAACTCTGTGAAGGCAATGAACATTATCCTCCTATATAATAAAGATGTAACATGCAAATTAACCCTCACACCCTCACAAGATGGCTGCCTGCGACCAGGCCAGCAGGGGTGTTAGTGAGGGACGACCAAACAACTGAACAAGCAGGCTGCGGGGGGAGGGCCAACAAGGCCAACAAGGGGGGGTGACCTGGCCAGCAGCGGGGAGCAGTTAGGGGTGACCAGGCAGGCAAGCAGGTGAGCGATTAGGAGCCAGCAGTCCCAGATTGGAGAGGGATCCCGGATTGGAGAGGGTGCAGGCTGGGCAGGAATTTCTCCCACTGGGCCTTCAGTGTTTATATTAAATCATCCAGAATTCATTAGAAGCTGGAACAAATTCCAAATGGCAGGCTGAACATACACATTTATATCCACGTCTAGAAGCCCCATAAGTTATTATCCTTCAATATCTATTCTTACTGAGCATTTACCACGGTTTTCTTTAATGTTTAAACTGAGATTTCAACCCTGGATGTATCAGTCTTTTCTTTTTTTAATGTATTTTTATTGATTTCGTGTCAAAGACGTGGGCATAAAACTCCAACCCCTGCAACTGAGATACATGCCCTTGACTGGAATCGAACCCAGGACCCTTTGGTCCACAGGCCGAAGCTCTGTCCATTGAGCCAAACCGGCCAGGGCCATACTTGGCGTTTAGTGTTTGGGCCTCCTGGCGTGGGCAGACCCAAACATTTCTGTTGTCTAACGTTTACAGCGATAAGAAACGCACGCCAGGCATTCGGCAAAGAACACCACAGGCGCGCTCCTGTAATCCTCGTGCTAATGCTGAGCATTAGGATCATCTCCGCTGGCGGCCCTGGGAAAAGGAACTTGCCCAACTAGGTCACAACTAGGATTGTCACCCTAATCCTTACAACACCCACGCCACACTCGGCCACTCTGCTCTGCTGTCTCCAGAGACCTGACTCCAGCATTAGGAGAGTCCCCGGAAGCCCGTGGGAAACAGTGAGAGGGAAAAAAGAGCTATGTGTGGTCTTACCTTGTTTGCAAATGTGTCCTCCACAGACGGAGGGCTTTCCAGCCAGAGCCCAGCAGGGACCGGACCTGCTGCCCACCGGGAGGGAGGGCCCTGCGGCAGCTCAGCCAGCCGCAGCCCCCGCCCTGTTCCTGACCTTTGCGGTGGTCTGGGCGGTGGTGGGGGGAGGGGGCTCTCGCAGTGTGGGGCCCAGGAGCTTTCTACCTCAAAAGATTCCCGATTTCCATCATTATTTTTTATTTCTTTTAAAATATATTTCTTTATTATTTCAGAGAGGAAGAGAGAGGGAGAGAGAGAAACATCAATGATGAGAATCACTGACTAGCTGCCCCCTGCACGCCCTGCTCTGGGGATGGAGCCGGAAACCCAACCCGGACATGTGCCCTTGACCTGAATTGAACCCGGGACCCTCTATCCACTGGGCCAAACCGGCTAGGGCTCCATTATTACTTTTTAAACAATCCCACTTATTTTTACAAAATATAGCTTCATTGATTTCAGAGAGGAGAGAGGGAGAACGACAGAAACATCAACGAGGAGAATCAGTGATCCGCCGCCTCCTGCACGCCCCCGCCCCCAACTACTGGGGATCAAGCCCACAACCCGGGCGTGTGCCCTTGACCGGGAATCGAACCCGGACCCCTCGGTCCGCAGGCCGGCGCTCTAACCACTGAGCCACCGGGCCGGGGCCACATCCGCTGCGGGAAGTTCTCAGGAGACAAGACGGCAATGGAACGACCACGGGCGAGCGATGCCCGCGACGGCGAAGCCCACGCCCCCGCCCCGGCGAGCTTGGGGGGCGCGGAGGGATGTCCCCGGAGGCGGGGCAGGTGCCTGTGCGGCCCCACCCCTTCCTCCAGGGGGCGCTGCCGGTCCCTCGGCCCCTGACAGAGGGGAGGGCGGCCCCCCATGCCCCGCGCTCCGGGGCCGCTCGGCCTTTCCCTCTCGGGCGGAGGCTGCGCGGGTCCGCTCCCCGCTCGCCGGCTCCCCCGGCCCCGCGTCCCACCTCCCGGCTCCCCCGGCCCCGCGTCCCACCTCCCGGCTCCCGGACCTCGCTGCCCCTGGGCCCCGCCCCTCTGTCCCCCGGGCCGGTCCCGCGCCCTCGCCCCGCGCCGCCCGGTACCTTGAGCGTCACGTCGCACAGCTTGCCCTGCCGGCGGATCTCCTCCATGACGCCGTAGCCGCGACTGGGCAACTCGGACACGGAGAAGTGCACCAGGTCCTCCAGCTCCTCCGCGCCGTCCTCCACCATCTTCGCCCGCCGCCGCGACTGCGCAGGCCCGGCCGCTCGGCCGGCCGGCTCCGAACTCCGCGGGGCGGGGCGGGGCGCGGGCGCGCGCCGACGCCGGCTGGAGCGCAGGGCTGGGAACGGACGGGCCTGCGCGGCCGCCGTAGTCGGAGCCGGTCCCGCGCCGGAAGCCCTGCAGCCCCGCTTCCTGGTTCCTGCGCAGCTCTCGTTCCCTGGCTACCTCGACCCTGGTCTCGCACCTGCAGCTGCCGCATTCTTCCGAGAATCGACGGTCCTGTGTCCTGTTTTCCTGACGCTGCCCTGACCTTACTCGTATCTCAACCGAGGACCGCGGGCTTCACTTCCGCCACCACCTCAGGACTTCCGGGACCTCCGGAAGCGGCCCCGTTGCTATGGCGACCGTGTACACAACCTGACAGCTGCGCGCGCGGGTTTTCCTTCGCAGCAGTTGCATTGGTGGTGTTGCGGCAGGGCTGCTGCCTCCGGAGCGGTAAGCAGGGCCCACGCGCCGCCGGGATAGGGTGAAGGGAGGTCGGAGAGGAGGGGGTGCACGCCGGGGCGGCGGGCAGCGGCTAGGATCCGAACATCGCTCCACCCGGGAGTTCCCCAGCATGGCCCCCCGGCCGGTGAACCCCGGGGCGGCATCGCGGGGAGCCCTTCAGGCTGGCCGAGGCTTAGAGTCTTGGGATCTAACGATCCCTGTCCCCCCACGAGGGTCCTATGTGGCGTCCGACGTGCCGAGGGCTCAAAGCTGGGGTCCAGAGGTTTCCCAGGCTCTTCTGCTCTTAACTGTTTTCTAACCGGGAGGGGCTTGAGGCTCGCCAGTCCGAGCCCTTTGCTTTACAGATGAGAAAACTGCTCCCGAGAAGGACAGGGATGGTCCTAAGGCCCATTTGCCTCCCAGACTCCACATAGGGGTCCGACAAGTTGGGTGAGAAAAGGAGAGGGGCCAGTTTCTGCGTGGATCCGAGTATTTTGTTTAGCCCAAGGCCGGGCGCGTGTGGACCCTGCACTGGGCTGGTTCGATGCGCCGCTGCAGCTCTGGCTGTGAGGTTTCCCTGAGGGCCCCGGTCTGGCGGAGCGCTGTGAGATAGGAACTCCCCTGGTGCCTGTCTGCCCAGCGTCCGCCCCCTCTGCTTTTATTGAGCCGTCAGGTGCTCGGTAGCACTTCTGTTCCTTCCACCCCAAAAACAAAGACACCCGAGCCTCCACAGCAGGGGGGCTTCCTGGTGGCCACTCAGAAATAGCTCATGGCAGCATTCCCCAGAGGACCTCAGGAGGAGGACCCCACAGAGAGGGAGGGCGTGCTGAAGGGGCTGGCTCATAGCTTCCTGAAAGTGAGCGTCCCCCTAGAGGGGCTGTGGGCCTCGGGGTGCCTGTGGGAGCGCCCTGACAATTGATGCCCCGAGGACTCTCTCAGTAGTGACCGAAGATGGACCCACACGTGGAGACTGAGCGCCCCTCTGACTTCCAACCATGACCGTCCCCACCACACACCTGCCCCGTGTGGGTACCGTTGTGGACTCTGAGGGGGGAGTTCAGATAGAAGGCAGAGTCCTGTCCCCCAGCAGCCGGTCGTGTAATCTGGGAGCTGAAACCCGCTCACATGATGTGGCGTCAGAGCGGTCACAGGCATCGTCTCAGTAAGTGCAGGGTGCACGGGGTCCCCGAGGTCTGGGTGCCCCGGGACTGCTGAGGAGGGTGCCGTGGAGAGAGAAGCAGAGAGGGCTTGCCTCTGGTGACGGGTCTGGCTCCTGGCACGCCTGGGCCGTGGGTGTGAGCACGGGGAGGGCCTTGGGAGGCACAGCAGGGTGACTGCATGTGCATGTTGGCCAACTGCATGGCAGAGCAGGGGCAGGCTCCGAGGGGAGGGCGAGGCGTGGGCGTGGCTTTGTGCGGTCTGTGGTGGGGGCTGCCAAGAGGGACCTGTGGGCACCAGCCCCCAGAGGCTGCCCCAATGGGTACCTCCCAGGAGGAGGATGGGCCCTCAGGCTGGTGTGGGGAATGGCTCCCAGCGCTTGATTGAGGGTGCTTGCTGGAGTCCAAACACACCTGCCTCCACGCTCAACTTCCCAGTCATCTCGACCAAAGTGACCTTAGAGGTGAGAGGTTCTCTTCGGTCTCTTCAGCTTGGAGCTCGTGTTAGAGCTACGTGTGGCTTCTTGTTTCTCAAGATCAGTGTTGCCGCCCGGTCGGTGTGGCTCAGTGGGTAGAGCATTGGCCTGTGGACTGGAGGGTCCCAGGTTCGATTCCGATCATAGGGCACATCCCCAGTAGGGGGTGTGCAGGGGGCAGCTGATCGATGTTTCTCTCTCATCACCAATGTTTCTAACTCTCTATCCCGCTCCCTTCCTCTCTGTAAAAGATCAATAAAATATATTTTTTAAAAAGAAGTGAATCCCCTCTGGCTGGCATAGCTCAGCGGTTGAGCGTCGACCTATGATCCAGGAGGTTATGGTTCTGTCCCCAGCCAGGACACATACACATGAACTCCATCTCTAGTAGGGGTGTGCAGGAGGCAGCTGGTCCATGATTCTCTCTGCTCATTGATATTTCTCTCTCTCTCTCTCTCTCTCTCTCTCTCTCTCTCTTCCCCTCTCTCCCTGTCTGAAATCAATAAAATAAAATAAAAATTAAAAAAAAAAGATCAGTTTGCCGACAAGGATTTCAGGACTGTCATTGGACAAGCCGTGACCTTGGCTCACCTGAAGGCCTTTCACATTCCTTTTCTAAAAATTAAAAGGTCTGAATGATGCCCGGCAGGAAAGACTCCTGCCGCCATCCTTTGAGGCATGTAGGAGGTGGCACCCTCTCCAACAGGCAAAGGAAAAGTCACCTGTTTGCTGACTCGATCTGACATCCGACAGGTTGTAACTGGGGCTGGAGTTTTATGCCCACGTCTTTGACACGAAACAGAAAGGGGAGGGCCTGCCTCTGTTTGACTTGCTTCTCTGCGTACTCATGCTGCCTTGGAGTGAACATGGTTATGAGAGGAGAGCAAGTGGCCACCACAGCTTGTGTCTGGAAGTGTGGAGGAGCACTCATGTTTTAAACATGAGTCATTTTTAGCCAGTAACACTCCCTGAACCACTCTTAGACAATACCTGTAAAATGTTACCATTCTTATTCAGTGCGCTTTTAAAAAATGCAGTAATTGCTGAAACCGGTTTGGCTCAGTGGGTAGAGCGTCGGCCTGCAGATCGAAAGGTCCCAGGTTTGATTCCGGTCAAGGGCGCGTACCGTGGTTGTGGGCACATCCCCAGTAGGAATTGTGCAGGAGTTTCTAACTCTATCCTTCACCCTTCCTCTCTGTAAAAAATCAATAAAATTTATTAAAAAAATAAAATAAAATTAGTTTTAGTGCTTTTCATGGTAAGTACTTCCAAGGAAAATACAGGGAACGAGGCAAAGCATCCGGACTCAGACGGAGCATTGCTGGAAGCCACACCTAAGACTCCGGCGGGAGGGCTCGGCCGGAGGGAGCCTCCGCCTGTTCCTTCAGCCTCTCGGGGGATGGACGGTGGACTGGGTGGGGCCCTCGGGCAGGTCCTGCGGGCGCAGCGCCGTGCTGCTCGGGGCGGGAGGGGAGGTGGCTCCTGGGACAGGCCTGCGTGGGCCCCACTGCCGCCCCTGGCCGTGGCCGGGAGACGGCGGCGGCCGACCCGCGCGGTCTTCCTCCTGCAGCCAGGATGAGCACGAGGAAGAAGGTGCACGCCTTTGTCCGCGTCAGGCCCAGCGACGACTTTGCCCACGACATGATCCGATTCGGCAGCGACAACAAAGTGAGTGGGAGCCCGGGCCTCGCCGCGGACTGAAAAGTCCCAGGTTCGATTCCGGCAGGAGCGTCTCCGTCCGCCTCCCTCGCGGGCCGGGAGCAGGTCCTGGTCCTTTAAGGGCCCAGACGGGACGTGCGAAAGGCCCGGAGGCCGGGCTCCGGGGTCCCTCAGCCCCCGTTCCGGCAGTGCCGTGGGGAGGGCACTCCGGGCTCTCCCATTCTCCGTCGTTCTGGTTAATAAGTTTCCCTTTAGTCCTGGCCGGTTGGGCTCAGTGGACAGAGTGTCGGCCTGCCAACAGAAGGGTCCCGGGTTCGATTCCGGTCAAGGGCACATGCCTGGGTTTCTGGCTCGGTCCCCAGTAGGGGGCGTGCAGGAGGCAGCCGGTCCATGATTCTCTCTCATCACAGATGTTTCTCCCCCTCTCCCTTCCTCTCTGAAATCAATAAGTATTTTTAAAAGTAATAATAAAGACCCCTGCCCTAAAGCACTTCAGTAAGAACATGGGAGAGGTGCTTGGCCCCAGCCAGAGGCCGTGGGCGGGGAGGGAGGTGCTGACGGGTCCAGCCCGGGCTGTGTGGGCGAGGCAGTAGCTTCCTCCTCCTGCCAGAGACCGACCTTACGGAGTCCGTCCTCCCCGAGGCCACTCCTCTTTTTCCCCACATCAGGCCTCAGCCACCAGCGATGTTTCTGCACCAGTTTACAGCAGTTTCCTAACAACTGTGCCTTCATCTCCCCGTCCCCCTCGCCCTCCCTCCCCATCGCCTCTCTTTTCCCACCTAGACCATCGACATCCACTTGAAAAAAGACACTCGCAGGGGAGTTGTCAACAACCAGCAGACGGACTGGTCCTTCAAGCTGGACGGCGTGCTCCACGACGCCTCCCAGGAGCTGGTCTATGACACCGTGGCCAAGGCCGTGGTGGCCCAGGCCCTGGACGGCTACAACGGTACCGGGCTCACGGGCGTGTGACCGAGGGGAGGGGCCGCACTCCCCCCCCTCCGCCCCCAACCCCCCCTGAATAAAACAGGTCCTCCCTCCCTACCCGCTGCGGGCTCAGCGGCCGCCCAGGGTGGGTGATGGGCCGGCCTGCCCTCACAGGATGTGCCCGCTCAGTTTTGAAGGCAGTGCCCTGAGGATGGACCTGATGGAGCGCGAATGTTGTGCTCTGAGCTCCCTGCCGGGCGTTCTTTCTGTCCACCGGGTCAGTCAGCAGCATCCACGGTTTATGTTC